CCATAGCCCCTTCTAGTCCATAGCCCCTTCTTCCCCATAGCCCCTTCTACTCCATAGCCCCTTCTACTCCATAGCCCCCCTTCTACTTCATGCATCCCAGATTCTTCCACTCCAGTGGTTACTGCAGTCAAACCACATTAGCTGCCATCCTCGTGACCATCACTCTACCTCTCCTCTCTGACTGCAGCCGCTTTACCCACCAGCGGAACCTTTCTGTTGCTCGTTGGACATGGACCCCTTAGCTTTCCTCACCCATTACTTCTCTCCTTATTCACTTTCCACCAAAGCAGCACTGGCCCTAGAGTTGACCTTTCAACAGAGATGTCACCAGTAGGCTAAAACCTGCCTACTCTCTGGGTAACTGTCAGCACCTGAACCCTCTGCTTCGACACATAAATTAATCCTAGTCATTATTGCTAGAAAAAAATTATAAAACATTACCAGTTGCTTCTCTGATTTCTAATTGTTTCTAATAATTTATGTAATTATGGTTTCAAAGTCAGGCTTTTGAAACTCACTGCTGAGCTAGTTTTTATTTACATCATTAGTTCCCCCCAGTACTTATCCAAACCTTTTTCTTCTCCTTAACTGTAACCTTCTCCCAGCAAGAAACATCACCTCCAACTAGAGAAGATTGAGACCCTGTATTGTGAGTGATCTTTAGCCCAGTGCCGTTCTCTTTAGCCCAAAGCTTCTCTCTCCAGTGGCTCTGTGTGTGAGGTCTTCGGCGACTAGCGGAAGCCTCTCTTTTCTGTGAGGCCTTGCCCACACACAACCTTCCTTGCGTCCCAAACTTATGGGCAGTATCCTGTGCTGGTTAAAAGTAAGCACTTCAGAGTCAAGCTCCCAGGAAATGGGAATGCCAGCTGTACCCATTTACCAGAACTATGTAGCTTAGGCAAGCATGTTGTTTTTTTTAACCTCTCTGAGCCACTGTGTCTTCATATGTATAACAGGTTTAAATTCAATAACTTACATTAAATGGTTATCAGAGTGTTTAATAAATAGTATACATTTAACAATGACCACTCTAATCACAGTGATTTTAGCAGTGCCCTGAGAGTACTGAAACGCCCTCACCTCTTTTTCCTTTCCTGCCTTCACACTTCTCATCTCCAGGTAACCCCCACGCTGCTGACCGCACCTCTGCCCATTTTTAACTCTTCTGGCTGCCTGCTTTGTGCCAGGATGCCTGAGTCTGTACTCCTGGCCCATACTTTCTCTCCAGAGCTCATTTTTACCTGGGCTTTTCATGTGGCTTTATAGTGACATCTTAGTTAAAATATGTTCAAAACCAAGCTCATCGCCTGCTCTCTTATAAATAAATGACAGCCCCACAGTTTATGTTAATCATGATAAGGCTTTAATTGTAGTGTAATTTTATAAATGAATACAGTACTATATATCATATTTCCATTCTGTCACAGCTGGACATGACAAGGAATTCTGAATCAACGGTCAGTTAAAATTGATTCCAATTTAGTAGGAGAAAGTTTCATGCACGGAGTCGGCCTCCATCCATTTGTCCCCAATACTTAGAGTCGTATTAGCTTTGCCTGGGAGGCAGCATACCAAGCAGAAAGTGGGTTAGCAGTAAACAGGGATTGAATTTTTGCCTCATGTTAATGCTAAGCTGGTAAAAACTGTCCACAGTTATTCCTCCTCAGTGTATTAAAACAGCCTTTTATTGTTGAGTGTTATATATCTGTAAAGGAGTTTGAGGTGACCTGGGGAACTGAGCCATGGTCTCTACCTGTTGCCAAAGCCAGCCCCACTGTAGAGAAGAGCGTATCCCTGTGAATCTTTATCTACCAAGAAGACTACTATGAAAGATAGACACAGGGAGTCCATTGCAGGCTCAGGCTACCAGGACCCTCACGCCCATTTACGTGGACCATCTCTTGGCCTTAGCCCCTCAGGTATGTACCTGTGAATAGAAACGTGGCTTGCCCACTCTAACAGAACCAAGCCCCCATCCTTCAATTTGGCCTGAGCTGCAGGGTCTGTCCTTGGCCTTCACCCCTGGCTTTCTTGTAGTTGTACACCTCTCCTAATGAATGTTCTGCCTGTTCTGTGCATCTGCTCCCAGCCTTGCATGCCCTGACCCCTAAAGCCCTGTACTACTCAGTGCAGCGATCAACACCAAAGGGCCCAAAATAAGTCCCTGTTAGAAAGAATGGATTGTTTTAGGGTGTTCTTTTCATCAAAGAAGAACTTTAAAAATAGGTACCTTTTATTGAGATGTGCTGTGTTCCATGTGGTATGTTAGATTCCTTACATCATACATTATCTCATTTTACCCCTATAAGGAGGTGAAATACCCCTTCTAAAAATGAGAAATCTATCATGGTAGAGTTCGGTGATTTCCCAAAATTTACACATAGTAAGTAGGACCAAATTAGGATTCAAATGTATGTCTATTTGACACCAAATCTTGTAATTTTTTCCCCTACACTCAACTGTCTTTGGAAGATGCACAGTAACTTAGGCAAGATATTGTTATAATTGTGGTAATTGAATTTTTACTAATAAATAGAGTATTTGAGTGCACTGAGCCAAGAGTAGAGTGACAAAGAATCACAGTAGGATAGTGGTAGCATGTGTCAAGAGCAGCAGGCCATAGGAAAAGATGTACCTGCAGCCCATCTGGAAGAATCAGGGAGACTTCACAGGAAGAAGCAGCATTTGAGCTAGACTTGAAGGGCAAATGGGAACTTCCCAGGAAGATGAGAGGAGGGAACAGTGCTTATAAAACAAGAACATTAGAGCGGGGGCAAACGTGGGAAATTAGCAGTAATTTAGTGTAGGAAGGGGCCCCAGTGATAAGCCAGGAATAGAGAGATCGTAAGGTGTTGACTGTCCTGCGAGAAGCTCGTTAGCTTTTGTCCTTACACAGCGCAAAGCCGTTTACCGTTTAAGCAGAGAAATAACATGGTCAGCTTTACTTCCATAAAAATTTACTTTGGTAACAAAGTAAAAAACGAATTGAAGAAATATTAAATGAGAATGAGAATAAAAGGGTATTTATAATATTTCGGGGGAGTTGGTGAGAGTTGACACTAAGGCAGTGGTGGGGCAAAGGAAACAGGACAAGCCAGGGAGTGATTGAGCCAAGAACTAAGTGATTGAACTCTTGGCCTCCCGCAGTTGAGTAGTCACAGAACTTGTATCGTCACAGATTCTTAGTCTCCCCACCTGCCTTTTCTCTAAATGAAAACAAGATAAATAAGAGTTTCCAATTTATGATACGAATTTTCATTTACTTCATGTAAGCAATCACTTTGCATGATTTTTTACATTTTCACATCTGGATTGTACAATGAAAAATTGTGAGGAACTCTCATAAATTTTATGAAATCTTTCAACTTCATCATGAAAACTTCAAAGTTAAAAACATATGGTTCATCCTTCCAACTCTTCTAGTATGTGAGCTTTGGGTCTGGAATTTATTTCCAGCCAAGCTGTAATGTAAAATCACAAGTAAAATCACCATAGTTACTCCACATTACAACTTCTAACATCATCATGGTACTGGATTAGATATAATTATTCATTTCTCTTTTCCTTTGCTCTTCCCTCAGAGAACTCAAGAGTTGTGACTTGTGCGCTAATGCTTTTTTTTTATCCAAGTGGTGCTCGTCATGACCTGCTTGTCTCACGCACTTCAAAGAAAGGCAGAGTGTTTTAATCAGCTCTGCAGAGAAATGGGAAGAGTAGAAGTGGATTTTCCCTAGATTTAGGAACATGTACGTTTGTACATGTATACGCATTGCTATATATACATATACATACATACAAATATGTCTGTTGTACCAGCACTTGGGCTTTGTGATGCATAATTAGTGGACTCACGGGCATTCAAGACCAATTTGACCATTCTGCCACATTAACCATGATATTCAGAAACATTGATCCACTTCCCTGGGATGTATGTGAAAAGACCACAGAGTGGTTTAGCCAGGTGCTTTTAAAACTGTTTCACATTCTGTAAATTAGAGAACATAAAATAGGAAATTCAAAACTTAAAAGAAAAATGTGTCTGCCTCGATAGTACTAAGTAGAATGGCAAATTAATTTTACTAAAATAATATACCTTAAAATTTATTTCTAAAAATCAGCTAATAGATTTTGTACAACATTTGATAAATATTTTACTGTTGGTGAGATATTTACTATTAATATCATTTTAAGCATGTACTGGGTATATCTAATTTCTCTTACCTTCATCTCTTTATTTCCCAAAACAGGAGAGGACACTCCTGAAACTGTATAAAGTAGTTGCCTTGGATCATGATATTAACTTATGTGTCTTTAAGTCGGCATTCTCCAGAATCTAATGTAATTGAAATAGCTTTGCCTATGTAAACTCTCCTTTGTTTAAATAAGATTTCACTGTTTAGTTTTGCCTTAAGCAAATGAAGCATTTGTTTGTCCATAAAACATTAGATTAAATGTATGGACTAATATGAACAGCTTCTCATCATTCCAGTGTATCACAGGTAGTGCCCCCTTTGCTAGTGAGCGGTGCATTATTTTCATTGAAAACTAGGGCTCTGTCTTTAGCCTTCTTTTGGGGGAAAGTAAATTTTTGGCATGGAAACCTCCTATCACCTTACCATTATTGATTTTAAATTTGGAAAAGACTATCTGAGATTTGCTATTTAAATGCAGCTGCTAATGCTCTTGATACAATGAGTAGTTATATAGGTATTTGCTCTCAAAGTACACTGAATTTTTCTCTTTATCGTTGGGTACCAGTATTATCTGGCTATTGTTGCCCTAAAAAAGCTAGATGTTTGGCACTTTGCAAGAAGTACTGTGCAGTAAATGCTATGGGAGATTGTTCCCTCCAATCCAGCTATAGTTTCTTTCCTGGTTTCTGTTTTCATTATCTATTTAGACGTATGATGCTTGGGGGTTTTTGTTAAAGCTGACGTCAGATCTGGTGGAGAGGGCACATGCCATGGTATCGTTGTAACTCGTGCACTTTTTCTGTTCAGGCAATGCTTGATGTGGCTGCAAATCAGGGCTGGCTGGTGACTGCCCTAAACATCACCAGTCTGGTTCAGATGGTGATCCAAGGCCGGTGGCTAAAAGACTCTTCTCTTCTCACAATACCAAACATAGAACACCACCATCTTCACATTTTCAGGTAATAATTTTAATTTTCAATGTAATTGGTTTTAAAATTTTAAAAAAATTATTTTCTTTATATGTGTGGTCACTTGATTTTCAGATTGTGCCTAGAATATTGATTCTTCACGGTGAAAAATGCCCCAGCTTCCCAGAGGGAGATGTGGCCTAATGCTGCAATGTTCTCACTTGGAATTCGATCCTGACCCAAGCTGAACCACAGTTCATTTTAACCCCCTATTAAATTGTTTTCCACTTTTAACACTGGATACATTTCTATTTTAACTGTGTTTATTCCTTTACAGTATCAACCTTTATTTTAGAAGAGGCTAAACTGCTTTGTGGTCTAAAGCAAAATAAATTACCAATTTCTGTTACTGCAGAATAGATTGGAAGGATCTGAAATTCATTGTCAAAAATAAATGGTGCATCTATAAAATTTCCAAAACCTGGTAGTTATGTATACTAACAGCTCAAGATATAACCTGTGCTTAAAAGTTGAGTTAATATTATCAAATTATTTAACCCTTAGGCTCTATGTACATGGCTGAAAATATTTTAGCGAGTAAAAGAACAGTATACATTACAAGCAAGGTTGGCGATATTTAAGTGAAAATGTTCCTTTTACACCAGTTCAGAGAGCCTCTGCAGCCAACATGTTGGTTCACAGTCATGTAGCCAAGCAAGACAGCCTGACTGCAGGTCACTGCCATGCACCCTCTGCCTCCTGTCAGCTGGACTAAGAGTAGCAGTCATTTGAGGCATCTTGATACAGATGCCAGCCAGAGCCTCAGACACATGGGGTCTGCTCAGGAAGGTCCCTCTGTTTGTCTCAAGTGGGTTCCAGGGCAGCTGTTTCCCTGTGCTGGCCCTTGGAAACCAAGAGGCACATTCAGAGTGAGCCACCTCAGCAGCAGGTGGCATGAAGGGAAGGCAGATATCTCATATGTCTGCAGCTCAGTCTCGGGAACCCTTCCAAGGTGGTACTGAGAGTTACAGGAGTTGGGTTTCAGGAGTAAAGCAGGCACCTAAGGGTACTCACCCAACACAGCACGCAGGTCTGCTATGGAAGCTGCTGGGCCTAGATTTGGTCCAGTTTTTTACTGTTACCCTGAAAAGTGCTATATTTGTATAACTTTAATTATACGGGATTTTTTGCTCTATAAACAGCAAATACAGAGTAATATTTAGATGGACTATGTTCCTGGGGATCGGTTCTATTTATACTATAAATCCCAAAGATTCCCAAAATGTGCTTTTAATTGCATGTTCCCAACTATTTACAATGAGAACCTATTCAAGTGATTACATTAGAGTCATTCTCCTACATCCATTAAAAACATGTCAGGTCTCTGAAAAAGATTTTCAGTACTTTATCCACATAGAAGCACATTAGTGCCTTCCTGTAGAAAGACACCTGCTGTCTGTGAACCCGGACTACTCACTGAGCTCACACATGATTTATCCATTTTATGTAGAGATAGTGATATTGCCTTGGATTGACATCTTAGAGAATGCAGGCTGATTTTGAAACTTACCAATAATGACCTTTAAAAAGTTTAGAGTTACCTTAATTTGTAAAAACTATTCAAATTTTATAAGCCATCATCAGAGAGTCTCATTTGTGCAGTGAAAGAATTATTTGGTTGGTGTTCTTGTTTCCTAGGAAATGGAGCCAAAGTATAAAGGGCCCCCGTGCGGGCTGCCATGGCTTCATCGAGTGCCTTCCTGAGCTGATCCATGCCTGTGGAGGGAAGGAGCATGTATTCAGCTCCATGATAGAAAATGAGCTACCGGCCCCAAAAATGAAGCAGGTAAGGCCATCCATCCCTTTCATGTTTGGAAGCTCCCTTACTCCGTCTGGGAATTTATACCAGGAGTTTTCTAACTTACAGCATTGGTTATTGGATTCCGACCCACCTGGATTTAACTTCTGTCCACTGTTTACCAACCACGATTATGAATATGGAAGCAGCATACCTGTCTCGTGAAGTTCTTGTGAAAATTAAGCAGCATATTATTATGCAGACCTGCTTCACATAGTTCCTGGTATAGAATGAGAGCTCAGTGAGTGATAGTAAAAATAATGACAGTAACAGTACTCAGAAGCAGCATTGGCATTTTAGAAGTTGTTTCATTAGCTGACTAAGAAAAGTCTGCAGTAGCTTGTCCGTCACTAACTGTGTTACCCAGGAGCACTTCTCACCCCTTCAGGGTAGTTTTTCTTAATTTACACTTGGCTATATTTTCATGCAATTCCCTCAGTTACTTTTTTATGTCCCTACCCTTATTTTAATCACTTTATTATAACTAGGTTCTAAAGTATTCCTTCAAATAAACTCCTCGTTTGTATATCATATAACTTGGATAGAAAACTAAATCTGTGTTGTGAAAACCAATATAAGTCATCTCTCCAAACCGTCTTTGGAAAGGCCAAAAATATGAATGAATGATGCCAGAAATATTTGGCATATCTAGACTTTTAAGTCTTAAGCAGTTTTACCCTAAACAGGTCAAAGTAAACATTCAGGATTTGTAACATAATTAACATAATTACTTCTAAATGCAGGTATTAAAATAAAGACACCTCTAAACCATCTCATTTTTTTTTCCCAGTAGAACTTATTTTTGAGCAAGACATGGAGAAAGTGTAACAGGCATTAAAGTCTGATTGTTCAATTTCTGTTGAACCCAAAATTGGCACCAAAAACTATTTAAATATTCATAATAAGTGCCTACCTTTCTAACTAAATTACTATCAAAATTATGAATAAAAAGAATGTATTTAAATCAAAACAAGGCTTCCGTTAGCAACAATAGAGTTCCACCATAGCATACATTGATTTCAAGCCAAGTTTTAGATGTGATGAAAAATTAGAACATTGTTATAATTAGTTCAGGGAGAACTCAGAAGTAAACTTACTTAATTTATTTGCATAAATTGCCATTCTGTTATCTTTAAAACCAAATGCAAATTGGCTCAGTCTGATATGATGATGGTTATTTGGCTCAAAAGTGCTTCAATATGCAGAGCAATCTGGTGTTGGCTCTGCATTGAGGCGATCCCAGGTAACATACAAATCCTGAATTATTCCAGAAATTAGTATGTTTAAAGCATCAATTTAAGTGCTAATTGCAGTAGTAATGAGAAAAAGCAGTACGACTGTGAGATTTGCATCTTCCACCCCATCAGTATGCCTGGAACGGCTGCTGACTGGCAGAGGATTTGGCTGCTAATTAAATAATTGTATGCATGGCAGTGCTCCTGCCTGATTCAATAGATGAAGATTAATCCTCAGATAAATATGTTTGGCTGGTATTGAAATGTCTTAGCAGTTTCTGTAAAAATAGCTCATGTTTTATATACATACATGCATGTGTGTGTACACACACATACACACCCAACAAATATATGTGTATACACTGAGGGTGAAAAATAATAATATTAAGTGCTACAAAAAGAACGCCTAAATATAAAAGCCAGATCTGACTTTTGTGTAGTAAAATCCCAATGTGTTGCTAATAACTGAAAACATACATTGGTAACTAATTTAATGGTAAGGAAACATACAAAGTCTTGCTTTATGTGGTAAATGTTACTTGTTTATGTTACAAATTTAAATGCTTTACAGAAATTGTGTATTGAAGTGTCCCCTTGGTCATTTTTCCACTCTGGCCAGTGTCAGTAAACATCAAGTGGTACATGCAGCTTCTAGACTTGGTGACTGTTGGCTTCAGCAGCGGAGAGGCCGTCATTTGTTGCCTTGAAACACAGTGCAGACAATTCGTGGGTTGACAATTTCAAGATCTAGTCCAGGTATAATTTCAGAATCACATGACAAGTTATAGGATTGAATTAGACTGAAAATTTGCACTGGATTTACATTTTTTAAATTCCTAAGGGGTAGTTTGATTTATCAGGGCTACTTTATTTCAATTAGGTGTACTTAGTAGCAGTAAAGTCTTAGCAAACAGGAAATCAAAGCCTGCAAGCAAATCTATGGTATATATCAAAGAAATAAAAGGAATACCAAAATTAAAGTATTCATGTACTTTTTAAAACTAACTTAGAAGGGAACAACTGATAAAACAACCAATATATTGAGAAGTTTTCTTCACTGATAGTGATAGCACCACATAAATGTAAATGATAGAAAACAGTGACAATTAATTATCTGAGGACATCAGGTTTATTTTGTTACTTCCTTTCTGTAGACTTAGAAATTCATTCATTCATTCAGTGATGATGAGCAGTTACTATTCGCATACTGATTTCTCACAGATATTTTTCAATTTAAAGAATAAGAATAGCCCGGCCGGGCGTGGCTCAGCGGTTAAGCGTCGACCTAGGGTCCAGGCGATCAGGGTTTGATTCCCGGTCAGGGCACATGCCCGGGTTGCGGGCTCGATCAATGGCTCTCTCATCATTGATGTTTCTACCTCTCTCTCCCCCTCTCCTTTCCTCTGTCTGAAATCAATAAAGATATATTTTTAAAAAATAAATAAATAAGAATAAAATTGGTATTTTCTACCCTTTTAGTATATGTCATTTTAATTAGTATTTGATGTTCTCAATATGATAATTCCAAAAATATATATTTGTTCCTAGGAGGAACCCTGAACTTATAAGGCCCCTTATGATATACAGACATACGGAAATATTTTTCTTTCAGAATAAATTTAGAGTATGGGCAAAATAAAAACTTTTTGTACAATAAGTTATCAATGGATGATGCTGACTGACATCAACAATTGCATCACATTTTTTAATGTTACTTTTACATCCCCAAGCAATGCTCTCTACCTTAGAAGTCACATAAATATTAGAATAGATACTTCTCTAAGACAATCCAGCTCAATGACAAACATTTTAAAACTTATTTTTTTAGTATAGTCAGTAGCCATTTAATATCTAAGAGGGATTTACAATAAAGTGATCACAAGTTTAGATAATGATTAATTCTTTTTTAGTTGCTTTTACAAGGACTTTAAACTACAAAGATTAAAAGCACACTATTTTTGCAAACATTAAGTACAAGAAAAAGTGGAAAAATCCGAACACAAGCTATGGATTGTATCAGTATCAATATCCTGGTATTAATTGTACTTTAGTTTTGAAAACTGCTACTACTGAAGGAAACTAGGGAAATGGTACACAGGGTCTCTGTATTATTTCTTATTACTTCACTGACTCCAGGCTTAATCTCAAAGCAGAGGTTAATTATTTTTTTTAATTTTATTTTTTTTCCCATCACCATTTATCCCCTCTATGCCCTCTTTCCACCTCCAGCCACCCTCCTCCCCACCGTCCGTCTGAGTAAAATCACATGATACTTGCCTTTCCCTGACTGGCTTATTTCACTTAGCATCATGTTCTACAAGTATAGTCTTTCTTAGTTGATTGATGCATTTCAAATTAACCAGTCCTTTTTTTTTTTCAGGCATGGAATTTTGTAAATCACTTGCCAGTGATAGATGTTGGCTTAAGCGTCAAAGGCTGGTGGGATGACTCCATGGAAGGACACAGTGAACTTTCTATCACAACTCTGACTTCAGACAAACGAAATGACAACAGATGGATCAAATTGCATGCTGATCAAGAGTATGTGCTGCAAGTCAGCTTGCAGAGAACCCACTTCGGGTCCCACAAGGTACAGTGTTTGGTTTCCACTCTCAAATGCTTCACACCAGACACCAGCGTGCGCCGCCCCACATATCTTTCACATGACTAATGCGTCCGTGTCATTCATGAATCCCTCTTTCTCAACTGGCCTTAAGCAGCAAGCTGGCCTTCTGAAATTAGTCCATTCTCCTCATGTGCCAATGTCCAACCCCAGAATACCGACCTTACATGATAGTATGTTGCCTGGGGTGCTGTTCTCAAAATATGGCCCTCAGACTCAGCCCAGCAGAATTTCCTGGAGTGCCTTTCAGAGGGCAGATTCCTTGGCCCCCCTCCAGACTGCCTGCATCAGCAGCAGCTCGGGGAGGGATCTCAAGATCGGGACTTTTGCCCGGCACCCCAAATGGCTTTTTAAGGACATTGAAGTTCAAAAAGCACTGCCCTAGATGCACTTTGTTATTTAGAGGCCACGTTGGGCTGGATGCAGACGAGAGCAAAGCTTTACCACTTAGCTCCATGAGTTTGAATAAGACACTAAGTTTTTTGCACCTGGGCTGCCGTATCTGCCTGTTCCTCCCTTATAATGCACACGAGGGAGCTTCGTCAGTGTTCACACAGGCCAAAGATTTGCAGTGTTTTTATTTTAAATTACTGCACACTTCTCTGTTGCCAAAATTAATCGTTTGGCCCTCTGAGACTAGTAGTATATCGCATGTGGCCGGATTGGGTTTTGGTACCATAATCATTGAAATAAGAAAGAATTTGCCTTCTCTTTAGCCAAGTAGAGTCGGGGGCTTTCCTGTATCAGGAATAAGCCCACAGGAGGGAGGCTGTTGCATCAGTACTGCATCCTCTGTTCTCACACACAGCGTGGTCAGTAATTCTCTACTGTTACGACGTCTTTTCAGTGCTGTGCCTTCAAGTCCCACCTCATCTGATTCCTAATTCTAAAAATCAGTCCTCATGAGTATGAACTGATTGGCCTCTGGCATTTCAGGGGCTTTAATATGAGCATGTTTACATGACTTAATTGATCCCAACTTACCAAAAAAATAAGTCATACAGGCAAAATCATGGGGGAAAATAAACAATTTTTTTACCTTAATATTGCTACTTAACAGTTAGATTCAATCATGCCAAAATAAGCCTCTAAATTTTGTTTATAAATGCTGTAAAAGTACAGTGCTGTCTGTCCTTTCTTTTAAAATGCCTTACGTGAAACACTTCCCCCAGAATATTGAGTGAAGTCTGAGAGCATGCTATCGTTACTATGTGTCATTATTAGTACATGCCATCGTTAGTACATGTCATTATTAGTACATTTTGTGCCATGAAGTCATTGTCTTAAAGATTCACTAAAATAATCTTGTACTATGTAATCTTGATCTAAAATAGAGACTTCAAGTGCTCTCATTAAGATGATATCTAATCTTGGATTGTGGTGATTAATGTATCTTACAAATTGGTTGGCTGATAATTTCTTATTCCTCAGAGAAAGGACTTTTTAATATTACCATATTAGAGCATGTGCTTTTTTGTGTATTATTCTTGGATGCTGAGAAGGTGTTTATATGATATAGTGCTTATTTTCTTAAAGTCCAGAGACTAGTCTTGATTGCCCTTTTCCCCATTAAGTATCAGTTTCTTGTGAATAAGTCTTTGGAAGATTTGGTTAACCTGGTTGTATCTCAATTTGTTCATCTGCAAATGGGGTATTAATATCACTTACAAGAACGGTGTGTGAGAATTTATTAAATTGATGTCAAGATTCAGGACTTTCTGTTTTAACTAACTGAGCCAAAGTATTTTGGTGATTATAGCCGCAAAGTAGTGTTTTGAGATCTTGAAAAAAGATAACTGATAGCATATCCAAGACACCAAGCCAGAAAATTAATAACATCCCAGATAGATAGACTGAGCTGTGTAGGTTTATAACTTTTTAATCACAACCAAGTGGTATAGAAAGTCTAGAAATTATTAATGCTTTATCTTTCTTTTGCTGGTTTACAGGGAAAGCAAGACAGCCATGCAGTTGCCCCTCGGTTTCCCAAATCAAAAGATGAAGGATGGTTTTTGATATTAGGAGAAGTGGATAAGAGAGAACTTATTGCTTTGAAAAGAGTAGGGTATGTTCGAAATCATCAAGTCGCTTCCATCTCTTTTTATACCCCTGAAGTACCTGGAAGGTAAGCAGAACCTTACCACCGAAATTCTGGAAGAATGAAATAGGACTGTGATTGGAAAGGGGGCTTTACATTTTTCTTCTATTTTAATATTTTAGGTATATCTACACCCTGTATTTCATGAGCGACTGCTACCTGGGCCTGGACCAGCAGTATGACATTCATCTCAACGTCACACCAGCAAGCGTTTCTGCAGAAGTCAACGAGGAGATCTCCGACGCCTTGACCGACCTGAAAGTGAAGTAACCTGACCCCAGCAGTTATCTGAAAGAAGCCGTGAAGGAGTCTGGCTGCTTAGTCACCTAGACAGAGTCGAATTACTTGATGTTTGCCTTGGTGGAATCAACTTCTAACCTCAAGACACCCGGGAAATTGACAGTGGCTGCAGTCAATTTCAACACAAGTTAACTGCAGTGGCCTTTTAACAAATGTTGCCTTTTATAATGTTGTCTTCATGGATTTTCTGATATGTAAAGTCAATACTCCTGTAGGAGAATCGATTTGTGTATATTGAGATTATTATATGGGAATTATCCATCAAATTTTACATTGCACAGTGTACTGTTTACAAGAATATTAGCTTCTTTTTTTTCTAAGGAGAAACTACACTGAGGCAAGGCAGTGTAACTGATTCCTAACCCTGCAGTGTAAACTACGTAAGCGACCTCTATGATGGCACACAGTGTGTCTTCCTGGCAAAACGTATACCTTGCCCTGTGTAGAAATAATTTCAAGAATATCTTATAGTCATACGTGTTAATATATGAGATAAAATCACATCACAGAGCTCAGTGATGAAAATAGAGTATTCTGATGTTAGAAAATATAGATCCTGTAACTAGTGGAAATAAAATATTTAGATTGCCACTCCAAGACAAGCTGACTCAATTATTCCTCCTGTTTTCCCCCATTATATTACTTTTCTGTTCTTCTTTTCATTCCCTCCTATTTCAAAACTTCATTCCCACCTTTTTTCTGATATATTTATTTACACAAGGAGAGAAGTACAGCGTAATTTGTGTTGCAACATGTACAGATCATATAGTACGAGTCTTGGTCTTCGCCTTCTCCAGGATTGCTCTGAGGCAAACAGAAAATTTCTGGCCCCTACAGGTAGGTTTTCACCTGTGATCAAGGAAATTTCTCTATGTCCAAACAGTTTCCATCTTAGAAAAGACTTTTTTCAAATTAAGAAATTGTCAGAATTCAGTGTCCATGTAATATGTGTTCTAGTGGCGTGAAATGCTATCTGCAAAGTCATTTCAGTTATTCCTGACCCTGTGATGAGTCATTTTAAAATACTTTCCAGTGTAACCACCACAAGCACTAGAATTTAAAAGGCTTCCTGAAACCAGAATATAGAGGTCCTGTGTACCTCCTTTCCCAAGCTAAAAAAAAAAACGAAGGGAAGAAATAAGTAGAATGAGGGGACCAGGCATTCACTTTCCAAAAGTAAATCTAAATAACTCACATGAACACACCAAGGGCATGAGGTGTCCGAAGTTTGCTTCATGTAAAGAGTTCTTCCTGCTTTTTCTTTGGCAGTTTATTTCCTAATTGAAATTCATGGCTTAGCCACTTCACAGGTCCATACAGGAACCCGAGGAGACACAATTTCCTAATCTTCGTGTTCATCAGCGCCGTTCCTTCTAGAGAGCAGGCAGGTTTGAGGGGCTGGGGATCTATTTCACCAGACGTGACACGGGCCATAGGAAGAGTCGGAAAGAATTTCTGTTATGCCCATCATTGGAAAAATATTAAGTCAAAAGTGATTAGTTCACAACAAGCTTGAGAAGACACTGGGCAGCAAGCTGCACTTGCATGGAAGTGTGGATCTTCCAAGGAGTGACCAAGGCTGTTTGTCATTACTCTAAAATTTTAATGTTAAGTGTGCTTCATAGCAGGATATGTGCCATGAATAATACGAACTGATAATAACTTTGGTCCCCCTCTCTTTCAAAAATAATACAAAATGAGTAGGGAAAAAAAATTTCATGAGCCAGCTTTTTTTAAAATCTTTATTATTGAAAGTATTACAGATGTCCCCTTTTTTTCCCACTGACCCCCTCCAGCCTGCACCTGCCCCCACCCCAGGCCTTTCCTGCACTGATGTCTGTGTCCATGAGTACTGGATGTGTTCATATAAGGTCTTTGGTTAATCCCCCCACCAACGTTTCCTCTGATATTCAAAAGTATAACCTGAATTAACTTTTTAAAAATGAATTTCTTGGGGTGACATTGGTTAATAAAACCATGCAGGTTTCAAGTGTACAGCTCTATAACCCATCGCCTGCACCCCGCATCATGCGCTCACCACCCAAAGTCAAGTCTCTCTGCCACCATTTATTACCCCTTTGCCCTCTGCCACCTCCCCCTACCCCGCTTTCCCTCTCGCAATCACCATACTGTTTTCTATCTGCTTTTTTTTCTTTTTGCTTAATCCCTCACCTTTTTACCAAGCCCTGCCAACACCCCTCCCCTCTGACAGCTGTCAGCCTGATCTCTCTATCTATGAGTCTGTTTTTATTTTGTTTGTTAGTTTATTTTGTTCATTAGATTCTACAAATACATGAAATCATACGGTATTTGTCTTTCTTTGGGTGGCTTATTTCACTTTTTTATGGCTGAGTAGTATTCCATGGTGTGAATGTCCCACAGCTTTTTTATCCACTAATCTACTGATGGGCACTTGGGCTGTTTCCAGATCTTGGCCATTGTAAATAACACTGCTGTGAACATAGAGGGGCATATATTCTTTCTGATTGGTGTTTCAGGATTTTTAGGATATATTCCCAGAAATGGGATAGCTGGGTTAAAAGGCAGCTCCATTTTTTATTTTTTGATGAAACTCCATTCTGTTTTCCCACCAACACTGCAAGTGTTCCCTTTTCTCCACATCCTCTCTAGCACATGTTGTTTGTTAATTTATTGATGGTAGATATTCTGACAAGCATGAGACGATTATCTATTGTGGTTTTAATGTGCATTTCTCTGATGATTAGTGACATGAAACATCTTTTCATTATGTCTTTTGGCCATCAGTATGTCCTCTTTGGCGAAATGTCTATTCAGGTCCTTCGCCCTTTTTTTAATTTGATTTTTTGTTTTATTAATTTTAACATCATTAAAATGTCCATACTACCCCAAACATCAATGGTATACTCACAGAACTAGAACAAATATCCCAAAAATTTATATGGAACCACAAAAGGCCCCAAATAGCCTCAACAATCTTGAGAAAGAAGAACAAAGTTGGAGGTATCACACTACCTGATATCAAACTATACTACAAGGCCATAGTAATCAAAACAGCATGGTACTGGCATAAAAACAGGCATGTAAATCAATGGAACAGAATAGAGAGCCCAGAAATAAAACCACATCTTTATGGTTAATATCTGACGCAAGCAAGAACATACAATGGGATAAAGACAGTCTATTCAGTAAATGATGTTGGAAAAATTGGACAGATGAATGCAAAAAATGAAACTAGACCACCTCCTTACACTATACACAAGGGAAAACTCAAGATGGATAAAAGACTTAAATGTAAGTCATGAAACCATAAAAACCCTGGAAGAAAATGTAGGCAGTAAAATCTTGAACATTTCCATAGCAATATTTTTTCTGATATGTCTCCTTGGACAAGGGAAACAAAAATAAATAAACAAATGGGACTACGTCAAAGTAAGGTTTTTCACAGCAAAGGAAACCAGCAAAATGAAAAGACGACCCACTGAAAGGAAGAACATATTCATCAATGATACACCTGATGAGGGGTTAATATCCAAAATTTATAAAGAATTTATACAACTGAATTAACTTTTACATCTTTCCATTGGCTTTAAGTATGTGTATCTAGTCCTTAAATTAGCTTCCTTTTTCTGTTTTCAGAAATCTAAATCTAAGCGACATAAGGAGATACAAATTTTGAGTTTAATGAGTTCTAGTTATATTATTTCAAGGTTCTCAAAAATCATGAGAATGGTAGTCGATTCCGGGTTGTCCCAGAAGCCTATTTTTCAAGTAATGAAGGATGGCTTCAGTGGCTTCTGGGAAGAGTTATTCCCACAATTTCAGCCTCAGTTCTCTCACTTTTCATCATGGAGCATTCTGTACTAGTTCTGGAAAATAGAGTTCTTCAAATTTGAGATCTTTAAATGAGATTTCAGGGGTTCTACTTTGATTGAACCTTCATCCTAAGACTTTTGCATGTCAATTTGAGAAAGATCTTGGGGTACTAATCACATGTTGAGTCCAGTCTCAGGCAAGGTCAGCTTTGGGCCCAGACAGCCTCATCTGAATGGTTACTTAAATTTTTTTGTTTACTCTTCAATTGACTGCAATTTGGAGAATAATTTTTAAATGCACTTGATTAAAGTTTCAAGAGTATTACTGTGTCTGTAAATTAATATTAAGCAGTTCATTATGGAGACTTCCTGGAGAATATGATGGACTATAAATCAGTCCATGTTTGGCTGAGCAGAAGCACAGTGCCTCCTTCTAATTAAAGGGTCTTTGGATCCCCAAACCCACGTTTCTTTACTCCTGACTTTTATTGTATGTGTCCTTGATTTTATTTGAACTTGTTAAAAACCATGTAGATGCCATGCCTGTTTGTTGAAAACAAGTTTAATCGCCTTAAATGATTGCAGTCTTTGATTCCAAGTTATATTGGAAGCAGTTTCTAATGATTTGAAGATCTCAGGGCTGATCTAAGATTAATTTTATTCCTGAGCTTTTAATCCTTTTGGTCTTGGCATCAGAAGATTGTACTTTGCAGTATGAGGAGGATTGTTCTAGCTGGTTTTGAAACTCCCTACAACCAATGGCCAATTTTTCCAAGTGGCCTCAAAGTTGCCAGCTTGCAGGGGATAAGACAGCTTCTGAAATAATTCTGTGAGTGAGAAGACTAACGCTGAGTAATGCTGACTGCCCCTGGGCTGGGGCAGTGGCTGGGTGGAGGGGCACAAAGGGGGG